TCTGCTGTGGTGACCCCGGATTAATAAAGGGACTAAGCCAACAAGAAAATGAATGTATAAATGAATGTATAAATACTTTAATATAACAATTTTTTTTATGTTAGCAAATGCATTAAAAATCCTCATTTTTTAATCACTCACTTCCTTTTGACCCATAATATATATAAAATCTGTAAAAAATAAATAAATATGAAAACCAGCAGCTATTGACATCCATAGTAGGGTAGTGGTGCTATAGAAGCCAATGGCGACTTTTTTTTTTTTTTTTTTTTTTTTTTAAGATTTATTTTGGGATTTTTGCCTATAGTAGTTAGGACAGTATTGAGACAGGAAGCGATGTTGGAGATAGAGGGTAAAGTCTAGATCGGATATGCGGCCGGCCGGAAGTGCGATATGCACATTAATAAAGCAGCATTTTTTTTGACACTGTACAACAATAAATAATATTTTTACAGTACTGTGAGGGTTGGGTTTAGGGTTGGGGTGGGGGTAGGCGTTAAAAAATACATTTTATTGGGTAATTTAATAGATAACAAAACTAATACTCGGTACAAGTACAGTTTTTACATTACTGTGAGGGTAGACATTAATAAAATACAACAAATGAGAAATTTAATAAATAATAGAAATAATTTGCGTTAACTTCCGGCCGCAAACGCATCCGCTCTAGCAACAACCGAGATAGAGGGGGGTAGGGATATGTCCTCAAGCTGGGATTCAAACTCAGGACGCCCTGAGGAGCTACTGCACTATATGTCGGCGCACTTGTTTTTTTTTTTTTTTTTTTTTTTTTTTGAAGAAGAAAAATCTAACAGGTTGGAAACAAGGAATGAGTAAATGATTGCAGATTGTTTTATATTTCGGTGAGCTATCCTTTCAAAACATTTTGTTTTAGCATGTTGACAACTTTATAATTTTATCAAAGTAAGATGGATATTTTGATAACCAAGCCACATTCAACTGAATCTCCACAGTGTGAAGTTCTACACATTTGCAGAGGTCTTGACTGCACAAGACTGGCTGTGTTTTTAAAGGCAAGTGTGCACAAGCAGAAGATCAAAGGGTGAGGGGTTACGAGCTGACAGGAGAGAAAGTTGTAAGACAGGGCTGACAAACTACAGCCTGATCTCCCGCCTTCCTGAAAAAAAAAAAGTTTACATTCTTGTAAAGAGATGATATGGAGGTGCAGAGCTCTGCTTCATCTCACCCTGTCCTTCTGCTTCCAGGTGTGCGTGTCCTCTTTCACATTTAAACCCTCACTCTCCCTGGCCATCCAGCATGCAAAGTCACACACACACACACACACACACACACACACACACACACACACGCACACACACACACACACACACACACACACACACACACACACACACACACACACACACACACACGCACACACACACACACACACACACACACAAACATGTTTGTTTTTGTGAAAAGTGGGGACATTACATAGGTTTCCATTCATTTTATACGGTCCAAACCGTATATTATATTGCCCTCACCCCACTCCACCCCTAAACCCAACCATCACAGGAGACTGTGTGCAGCTTTACTCTCTGATTAAACTCATTCTGTGTGATTTAAACGCATTTTGAGAAATGAGAACATCACCAATGTCCTCATATTTCACCTCCTTTTTGTAATACCTGTGTCATACCCATGTCATTATACAGATTTGTGTCCTGATATGTCACAAAAACATGTACACACACACACACAATGCTGGATTGCCCAGGTTAATTCTTCTACTTACATACAGTTAAGAATTATTAGCCCCCTTTGAATTTTTTAATTTTTTTAAATATTTCCCAAATTATGTTTAATAGAGCAAGGACATTTTTACAGTATGTCTGATAATGTTTTTTTTTTTCTTCTGGAGAAAGTATTATTTGTATTTTGGCTAGAAAAAAAAAACTGTTTTTAATTTTTTAAAAGCCATTATAAGGTCGAAATTATTAGCCCCTTTAAGCTATATATTTTTTTGGTAGTCTACAGAACAAACCAGCATTATACAATAACTTGCCTAATTACCCTAACCTGCTTAGTTAACCTAATTAACATAGCTAAGCCTTTTAATGTCACTTTAAAACCTATAGAAGTGTCCTGAAAAATATCTAGTAAAATATTATGTACTGTCATCATGGCAAAGATAAAATAAATCAGTTATCTGAAATGAGTTATTAAAACTAGAAACAAAAATTGGACAAAAAAATAAACAGGAGGGGCTAGTTCAGAGTGTTTAATAATTAGTTAATCATACTTCAACTGTAAAATCATTGTGATGGATTTCCTTGATATATCAAAGTTCAGGTTCAAGGGACTTGATCAAAATGATCAAACATTTCTAGAGATCAGGGTATAGATTTTTTTTTAGATTTATAATTTAAGTTTACTTAAAGTCTACTTACACTTTAACTAACCATGAAACTCCATTTTGTTACCCTACAGGAAAACATAACTGCCTGTCCTTTTTTTTTTGCTACTTTAACTTTATTTATGATGCATTATAAATTTAATCTCTGTCAAGGGGCGGCATGGTGGCTTAGTGGTTAACAATGGTTTCTTTGTAAACTTTGCATGTTCTCCCCGTGTTCGTGTGGGTTTCCCCCACAGTCTGACGACATGCGCTAAAGGTGAATTGAATAAACTAAATTGGCTGTAGTGTATGAGTGTGTAAATGTGAGGAGGTATATGTTTCCCAGTGTTGGGTTGCGTCTGGAAGGGCATCCACTATGTAAAACAAATGCTGGATAAGTTGGCGGTTCATTCCACTGTGTCGACCCCTGATGATTAAAGGGACTAAGGCGAAGGAAAATGAAAGAATGAATTTCTGTCAACTTTATGAAAATCTGTAGTTTAACAAAATGAATTTATTGACATTTTTGTGCTTTGAAACAATATCATGTATAACAGAAATAATAAAATAACAGAAAACGTACTGGCACTTCATTAACAGCTTGTATTATAATTTACAAACCAATCCATACAATACATCTTTACATTCATTCATTCATTTTCTTTTCAGCTTAGACCCTTTATTAATCCGGGGTCGCCACAGTGGAATGAACTGCCAACTTATCCAGCATATGTTTTACACAGTAAATGCCCTTTCAGCTGCAACCCATCACTGGGAAACACAATACATCTTTTTTCATAAATTAACTATGGTGAAGTCTTTAACAACAAGAGTGTCAAAGCAGACATCATTTAAAATCATAAACAAACAGAAAGCGCAAATGAATCTTAAATAACATGTATTATTTGTAATACAAATATATATTATGTAATAAATCATTTCCATACCTTATTATATTTTAGCTAGGTTTAAAAGAAATGTTTCTTGGGTTCATTTAACTTACTAAACTAAAAAGGATAACAATAAAATTTAAGGAATAACATTTTTAAACTGTTAAACTGTGTATTATTGATCAAATAAATGCAGCCTTGATGAGCAGAATAAGCTTTTTAAAAAGTATGTGAAGTCATACAATCAAATAGGTTTCATTAAAAACTGAATTAACCATGAGTAACAATTATAAATCATATATGCATAACGTTAATCTGAACTTTTACAAATGCAATAGTAATAATAGAGATAATATCATTAATAATAATAATAATAATAATAATAATAATACCTTTTATTTATAGGTACCTTTCAAAAAGGACACCTTACAATATAATCATAAAATACAAAGAGTAAGGAAATAAAAAATAAAAATAGTAGACATTAGACCAGGAAATCATTCAAAGCAATCCTGAATTCAAAAGTTTTAATTGAGATATAAAATTGAAAATAGAGCCCACAAGAATATATTCATGAATTATAACTTGTGTCTCTTAAATTCTAGAGAAATAAAAAGAACATAAACAATTCAAAAGTAATTTCTTATCAGAACAACCTCTTTGATGATATTAAATGGTCATATATGTTTGGTCACTCCCTAGATTTTTTTAACAAATAAAATTAAAGAAATATCTTTTCAAATTATTCAGATTTTATCCAGTTAAACAATTTTTACAAAAATTCAAAAATGACATTAACGTGTCTCGCTCTTTCTGAGACTTCTTCTGAATCTGTTGCTTGTTTTGGAAAATGTCCCTTTGTTAAATCTTTCTGGTCTGATGTGAATTCTCAAATTGTCCAAAAGGTTTGTATTGATTTTTCTTCATGCTAGACATGATGTTTTGGGGGTTTATATTAAAGAAAAACAATTCCTTAAATTCAACTTTTTGCATAAACCTCATTTTATTTAATGGAAAGTTTTTCATACACAAATGCAAATATACTCAATGTAAGCCAATTTTTTAAATGAGAATTGGAACTGTATTTAAAAACTATCACAGACGTCCACAACAAGAAAGCAATTGAAACATACCTTTTAAAATATGTGCTTTATTTAATATTCTGCATTAATTTGTTTTATTTTTGTCATGTGCCCTCATTTATTATTTTTTTCTTTTTCTCTCTCTCTTTGTCTTTATTTTCCTTTATTATCATATTTATTTTAACATTGTTACACTTCTCTTGTGGCAAAAAAAGTAATATTTATATTGCTTGTACTTTCATTCTATCGGTTTTGTATTTCTATTTGTTGTAATGGCCTGTTGTTATTGCAAAAAAAAACAAAAAAAAAACAATTTAAATGTTATTCATTAATGTAAAACGTATTGCTCGCTGCGTATGTTAAAAGCATTCACTTATGAAAAAATGAAAGAAACAATAAACCTTTTATAAAGCACAACAATAAATAAAATTTCTGCACGCGATTTAGTTTCATGCTATAACAAAATCTAAATGTGTTTATTGCTTATTTTCCAATGTGAAACAAATGTGCTTTGGAAAAAAGAGTATTGCACAATGGTACTGAAGCAGCAGGCCTGTAGTGTGAGTGCGTGTGTGTGCTGGTGGATGTAGATGGGGGAGGTTGACGAAACGCAGGGGCGTGACGCGTCTCTCTGCTGCAGCGCTCACTCGCCTACGGGAGAATGGGAGAGAGACACCGAAGGGGAGGGAGGAGGAACTTGAAGGAAAAAAGTTAAAATAAAAATGGCTTCCTTGTCTTTGGAGTCCACAGAACAAACTGAAAACGGCCCAAAGGAGAGCGCGCAAAATGAAGCCAAAGTGAAAGAGGAGACGGACCCGGACGAAGTTTCGGAACAACTGTTGCAGAGCTTCCAGAACTCGGCGCTCAGTTTTTCCACCGATCAAGTCGCGTGTCTGTGCGAAGCGCTCCTGCAAGCGGGCAATGTGGATCGCCTGTGGAGATTTCTCGCCACCATCCCTCCTTCGGCCGACCTGCTACGTGGCAACGAGACCCTGCTGAAGGCCCAGGCTCTGGTCGCTTTCCACCGGGACGAATTCAAAGAGTTGTACGCCATCCTGGACAGTCATGACTTTCACCCGAGTAACCATGGGTTCCTGCAAGACCTCTACTTGAAGGCGCGATACAAGGAGGCTGAGAGGTCCCGGGGTCGCAGTTTGGGCGCCGTGGATAAATATCGGCTGCGCAAAAAGTTTCCTTTGCCCAAAACCATTTGGGACGGAGAGGAGACGGTGTACTGCTTCAAAGAGAAGTCGCGCAACGCTCTGAAGGAATGTTACAAGATCAACAGGTATCCCACTCCGGCC